GAGAGCACCAGACACACACATAGCTTCCTGGACATGATGATGTGCGCTGTGGCATTCACAGAAGTACCAGTGCCAGCCCCATGTCTAGCCCTGGCAGAGGTTTCTCCCTGTCCAGGGGAGCCCACAGCCAGCACTTCCCTGGACTGGGACATCTCCTATCCCCATTCCTTCCATGTTTTCCTTCTGGGGTGGGACCTGCTCCCTTCTTTGGCCACCAACACCCTCAATCTATCTCTAGCACAGGTGCTTCTGAACCCTGGCTGCACTTGAGGTCACCTTTGGGTTTCCCCCAGGCCCCTCACACCAACAGGAAGCCTTGTGGGCCTCCTGTGGCAGCTCTACCTGGCCACTTGCAGATGCACCAATCTCCAAGTCTATCCAGGGTCTGGGGGCAGAGATATCACCAAGGGAGCCCACAACTCACCCTCTCCATGGCCAATGCCCTGGCTTGTGTCACAATCCACCCTGCTCTGGCCTGGAACCATCCATCCACCCTCCATTCAGCAGCCAAGGGACCCAATGAGATGTGGATCAGTGACTTGTGTCCCTTGCCACAGCCTTTGTGCTCTGCAGACACTGGTACTTACGTACCTCAAAGCCATCATCAGCGCTTTCTCGCATGCCATCGTTCTTTGGTTGTAGGGGAAGGCCAAGAGAATGGACTTCAAATAGTGGTGAGTCACTGCTCACTGCTGGTGTATACTATTTCTTGTATTAGACAGGCAGAACCAATAGGCTGAGAAACTATATAGTGTTTTATTTTAAGGAATTGGCTAGGGTGAGTGTGGAGTCTGGGTGGGCCCCAGGCTGGAGGCCCCAGGAAAGCCCATGTGCAGTCCATGTTCAAAATACACATGCCACAGGATTCTCTCCAGCTCATGGCTAGTCTTTCAGTTTACTGAGACCTTTAACTGAATGCGTAAGGCCCACCCACGCTGGAGAGAATGACCTGCTTTAGTTCACCAATTCAAATGTTAATCTCTTCCAAAACACCCCAAATAACATTCACCCTACTATCTCAGCACCACAGTCCCACAAAGTTGTCACATAAAGTTAGCAACACCCTCCTCAATGCACATTTTGTTATTTGCAGTCCAAAGACTTCCCAAATCATATACCCAAGTCCTTAGGGGATAGTCCATAACCTGTGATATAATTTTAAAGCCATGTGGGCCCTCATTTGTCCTTTTTACTGACCTCATCTCTCCACAGTCTCCCTGGCTCATAGTGGCAGGTGCCCTGGCCAGCTTTCTAGCCCTTGAGGGTGTGGAACTCTCCACTGTTGCAGCTTTCCCTAGGCAATGCTGGTGGTTGCCCTGGAAACCTCTCTCAGAATCCTTAGCATCTAAAGGGATGTCTTAAGTTACTTTTCTTGTTGCTGAGACAAAATAACTGACACCTAAAGTTAAAGGAGGAAAAGTTTATTGTAGCTCACAGTTTGTAGAAGTTTCAGTTCACATTTGGCTGGCTCCAAGTTAGGGTGGCATGGAAGAGGGGCACAGCAGAGGAGAGACAGTTCATGGTGGGCAGAAGGCAGCAAAGTAGTGAAGAAGCAAAGCAGTAAGTGACAATCGGGGACTCTCTTTCTGTCCCTTATATCCTAGTCAGGCTACCCACCCTTAGGGAAGATAGCATTCATACCCAGGGTGGAGCAGTCTTAATCCTAGCATCATACCATAAATCAGCTCTGGCATCACATCCGTGATCCTAGCATGACACACCATAGATCTAGCTACCTCCAAAAAGCCCCACCTATGACCACATGAGGCTTTTGTGGGGGCATCTAGATATAAGCCATAACAAAGGAGCTATAGCTTATCCCTCTGTTAGTTGTCTCCTAATAATGCCTGGGGCTCAGAACCCTCTATCTAGAGCAGGGCTCCAGTTCAGTCTCTGAAATTTCATGTTGCACATATTTTTATTGTTGTAAGATAGTATTAATTTAGATTTTCCTTCTTTAAGCCAATTTTCTCCACCCATCCCACCTTCTTGCATTTTAGGCCTTTTTTCTGGGATCAGTTTCCTCTTGAAGTATCCTATAGAAGTTTCTTTACTGAAAGGCTGTTAGTGGTAAACCTGTCTGCCTGTCTGCCTGCCTATCTATTATCTATCATCAATTTATCTATAATATAGAAGGAAATTTATTAGATTGGCTCACATGATGAGAGGCTAGGTAGTCCACAATGTTGTCTGGACACTGAAGAGCCAGGGAAGGTAGTTGCTGCTTAGTCCAAGAAAATGGAAACAGGAGGGCCAAGGATACAGCCTCAGCCTGAGGTTGAAGGCCTGGGAGTTCCATGGAGAGTCGCTGGTGTGAGTTTGAGTTTAAAGGCTAAAGACACCTGCTCAAGCAGAATCAAGCTTGCAAGCACAGGCTGGCTTCCTCCTTCTTCCACTTAGGTTCCATCTGGGCCCTTGCCTATTTGAAACAGCTGCCTACATTCAGAGTGGGTCTTTCTAACTCAGTTCACTGGCTCACATGCTAGTGGTCTCTGGAAACACCCTTGCAGACACACCCAGAAGTGTGCTTTACTAATCTCCTAGGCAACTCTCAAGCAATCATGCCGATAATCAGGATTAACCATCACTCCTCCCAATGTCTGAGTTTTATCTGAAAAATAAATACCTTTATTTATATTTATTTTATTTATAAATACTTTTATTTGAAAAATAAACACTTTAAGGTAGTAGTTTAATTGATGCATAACAATTGTATGTGTTTATGAGGTACAGTGTGGTGTTTTGATATATAATACATTATGGAATAATTAAATCAAGGTACTTTATCTTTCACCTCACATGCTTATTTTTGTGGTATGAACATTTAAAATCTATTCTCTAATAATTTAAAAATGTACATTGTTTTAACCATAGTTATCATGCTGTGTAATAGATCTCAAATACCTCTACCTCCTATCAAAATAACATTGTACCTCTCTACCCATCTCTGGCCAGCACTCCCTGCCTTGCCCCTGACCCTGGTAACCAGTATTCCACTCTCTGATTCTGTACATTCAATTTTTTTTTTTATTCCACATAGGAATGAGACTGCATAGCCTTTCTTTGACTTACTTCGCTTAGCACGACCTCTTCCAGGTTCCTCCACATGGTCCTTTTTAAAGGCTGAATAGTATGCCTTTGTGTGTGTATGCCACTTTTAAAAAATCTGTTCATTCACTGGTGAACACTTAGGTTAATTCCTCACTTGGCCATCATGAATTGTGCTTCATTGAATGTGGAGTGTAGAAATAGCCTCTCTAACAAGTGTCAGGTCATATCTCATAATGGCTTTAATTTACATTTCCCTGATGAGTAATGATATTGGGTATCTTTTCATAAGCTTATGGGATATTTGATTTTTTTTTATTTTTGTGGTACTGGGGATTGAACTGGGGCCCTTGTGCTCGAAAAGCAGGCAATGCAATCACTGAGCCAAATCCCTAGCCCTTTGCATATTTTTTGACAAATGTTTATTCAGATCCTTTGCCCACTTTTTTTGTTGTTGTTGTTTTAGTTTTGAGACAGAGTCTTGCTTTGAAGTTCAGGCTGGTCCTGAACTCACTATGTGGCCCAGGCTGGCCTCGAAATCATGGAGATCTTCCTGCCTCTGCCTCTCGAGTGCTAGGATTACAGGTGTGTGCCACCGTGCCCAACCTTAGCCTATTTTTAAATCAGGTTATTTAGTTTCTTGCTATTAAGTTGTTTTCTAGGTCTATAATTATCTGCAAATTTTATGTGCATTTATTTCTGTAAGACTATAAATTCTTAGTTGGCAATTATTTTTCTCTGAGCATTTTGAAGATGTTATTTCATTCTGTGCCTTCCACTGTTGCTGCTGAAATTGTGCTCTGAGTCTAATTGCTGGTTTTAGTTTTTTTTTTTTTTTTTGGTAGCATTCTTCTTCACTTTTTTTTTTGGTGCTGGGGATCAAACTTGGGATCTTGCACTTGCAAGGCAGGTGGCAGCACCACTGAGCTAAATCGCTAGCCCTGGCCCTCATTATTCTTCTTTTGTGAGTGGGCTTTTTAAAATATCTTTAAAACATTTTTTGTTTTTGGTGGTCTGAAATTTCATTGTTTTAAGCCAGATATGATGGCACATTCCTGTAATCCCAGCACTCAGGAGGCTGAGGCAGGAGGATCACTGTGAGTTTGAGGCCAGCCTGGGCTCCATAATAAGTTCAAGACTGGCTGGGACTACATATCAAGATCTTCAAGTGAAAAAAAATTTTTTTACCATCTTATCTGAGTATAAACTTTATTTTTTAAAATTTATTTTTATTTAATTTTTTTGGTACTGGGATTGAACTTGGGTCCTTGTGCTTTCGAGGCAGGCAGCAGAACTGCTGAGCTAAATCCCAGGACCCTAAACTTTATTTTAATTATTCTAGTGTGTTAGTTACTTCTCTCATTGCTGAGACAAAATACTCAATACCCACAAGATAAGGGGGAAAGGTTTATGTAGCTCACAGTTTGTAGAGCTTTCAGTCCATCCTTGGCTGGCTCCAAGGCAATGGCACAGGACAGAGGGGTGTCACAGAGGAGAGACAATTCATTGCACACAGGAGACAGCAAAAGCAACAAGGGATCAACAAGTGACCTTAGCAGCTTCTTTCTGCCCTTTTTATACTCTATCTAGGCTACCAGGATTGGGCCAGTGCCAAACCAAGCAGTGGACTGACAGTAATCACACACCCTTAATCCTTCTTTAGTCGTGTCTAATTTGCTGTCTAACATATTGCTGAAGTTTTTTTTTAACAGCAGCTTTATTGAGTTAAAATTAGCAGTTATAATTCATATAGTTCACATAAAATTCACTTCAGGGATATAATTCAGTAGGTTTTAGAATATTTACAAAGTCATGGAACCATCACCATCATTTTTTTTTTTTTTTTTTTTTTTTTTTGCGACAGGGTCTCACTATGTAGTTCAGGCTGGCCTGCAACTCAACAGTGATCCTCCCGCCTCAGCCTCCTGAGTGCTGGGGTTACAGGTGTGCGCCACCATGCCCAGAAACCACCATCCACTTTTATAATTTATTTTGGTGGCACTGGGAATTTCACCTTGCTCATGTTAGGTAAGTACTCTACCACCTTCTTTTATTTATTTTGTGAAAGGATTTGGCTAAGTTGGCCAACATGGCCTTGAACTTCCAATTCTCCTGCCTCAGCCTCCCAAGTAGCTAGGATTACAGGCCTGCACTACACTCCTGCTTGGAACACCTTCATCACTCTTACATGAGAGGTTTTTACCACTTCATTTATTAGCAGTGCCCACTATCAGTCATTCTCCACTTCTCCCTCCCCAGGTACCAGGCGCCACTAATCTGTTTCTGTGGGATTTTCCAATTCTGGACATTTCATTATAACAAAAGGATATAATATATATTTTTCTTAGGTGATTGGTTTTTTCCACTTAACATAATTCTTTTAAGGTTTCTTCTGATGTTTTCATTTCAATGGAAAATTTCTCATTTCTAAAGCTTTTACTTTTTTCAGATAAACAGGGGTCAGCTTGACAGTGTCTTATTCCTTTTTTTCCCATTAAGTTTATTGGTACATTTTAGGTACACAGCACAGTTATATTCATCATTGGAATCTTGTACCTTTTTATGATGTATCTTGGTTCTTATTTTTTCCCCATTCCCCTGCCCTCCCTTCACTCGTTCTACTCTTCCCTATTTACAAAGACTTTGATTCCATTTTTTTCTTTTCTCATATTTTTTCTTACTCCTTTTAATATATTTTAAACATATTAAAACATATTAAACAGATTCATTTTGTATTCTATATTTTTCTAATTTCTTTTCTTTCTTTCTTTTTTTTTTTTTTTTTTTTTTTTTTTTTGGTACTGGGGATTGAACTCAGGACCTTGCACTTGTGAGGCAGGCTACAAAACCACACTGAGCTAAATCCCTGGCCCTTTTCTATTTTCATTTTCTATTTGGCCTCTCTAATTTGGAGCGTTTGTGCATATTTAAATATGTGGCTTGTCCTTGTTTCTGCTGAGTGTGACTTTGGGGGCTTGTTTCTTTGGGATACTTGCTTATTTTTGATTTTGAGCTCATGTTTGATTTAGCTGAACCCATGGGAAACCTAGTCCCTCAGGTAGGAGTTGCTGACCTGAGCCACCTTGGTTTTCTTGGGAGACTCAGCTTCCTGTGGGAGCTCATGCATTGCCCATACACTTTGGGTGGGTGTTGCAAATACGCCCCCAAATCCTCAAACATCTCGGGGTGCTCTGCTGTTAACTTTGTGTGCCCGGTATCCCATCTCTGTGTGGAGGGTGGCTACTCTGCCTGCCTTATGTGGTTGGCAGATGGGAAGAGCTGGAAGATGAACCTGGGGAGAAATCCTTGATGACTCATGGGGATTGTAAAATATTACAGCTCCTTATCCCTTTGGGTGAGATCGCCTCCGAGGCACATGATTCACATCACCTTTTAGAATTCCTCTTGTGATGGGCTCCAGTGGTGATTTGCTCATACCGTGCCTTTGCTGGTCTGGATCACCTTCTCTGTCCTGGACCACTCCCCTACTCGCTGCAGCGGCTCCCTGAACTTCCAAATAAATTCGTCCTAGAATCCTTGTCTCAGGCTTTGCTTCTGTAAAAAGCCACACTAAAACCCAGGACCTCTGACCCAGTGAGGTATTAGCTCTGCCCAGGAAATCTCTGGCTTCCACATCTTTCTCCTGCTCAGCATTCAGGCTTTGGGGCTCCATTGTCACATTTACCTATTTACTTATGGACTCAGAAATTTCTCTTACCTTTCTGTTTTGAAAAGAACCATGTTTCAGCTGTTCTTGCCCTCTGCACCTTCTTAACTGTAACTCAGAGTTCCAAGTGGCACATCTTCAAAGAAGTCTTCCTCGCCTTAATGTAAACCAGAGTTCCCTTAATCTCTCCCTTTGCCTTCACGCCTCTGAAGACTCAAGGAGGAAGAGTGAGGTGTACAGACAATGGAGCCCAACTGTGGGTGTCACCTCATCACTATACAGCCCTGAGCAACAAGCTGAACTTCTCTGCGCATGGTTTAAGATGGAAATTATGGTAAAGCGCTGCACAGCAGGGTTGTGGGAATGGACTGAGATAATATATGTTAAGTGTTTAGAACAGGTGGGACACATAGTATGTGTTCGATAATGTCAGCTCAGCTTGTCACATCTTGAAAAGATGTGTACGTGAAAAGTCACTTGTCTCACGTAAGATTCAGGAGGCCAGAACCCTCCCTCTGTTTTCTCACAGAGTTCTCCAGAGCTCAGGGCAGCGCCAGGCCAACAGTGGCACCTAGTCTGGCCAGATGGATGAAGGCAGGTGAAAGAGGTCTGATGGCAGTTTGAGGCTTAGCCAGTGGACACCAGGCATAGGGACCGCAGGAAAGGTGAAAGTGGACGCTGAACACCTGGCTGGAAGCCCCAAGACCCATCAGAGTTCTCTTCAGGTGTGAATGTGGCTGGTGACACAGTCCCTGGGGCTGTGACTGCTTGTAGGTGCTGTCACAGATGCCCTCAGGAGTAGGATTGCCCGGGACAATCAGAAGGGAGGATGATGCCGGGAGGGAAGGGTCGCAAGGTCGGGAGTCTAAAAGAAGCACCACAGCAGTTCTCCCTCCCGCCCTCCCTGCGTCTTTGTGCAGTTCGCCTCCCCCTCCCAGGAAACCTTTTTCGGAGAATTTCTAAGGGGACCTCAGCCAGGCAGAGGGGGTATGGGTCCTGCCCACCACGCTCAGGAGGAGGTGAGAGGTAGGGTGGAGGAGGGGAGCGCGGGGGCGGCGGAGGGAGGGCGAGCAGGAGGGGGTGCGTGGGCAAGGAGCAAGGGGCGTAGCGAGGCCAGGGCCAGCGACTCGCGGGGCCCT